GTAGTGAGAATAAATGCTACTCGATTTTTTTTGGTGAAGGGCCGCGCGTACGCGAGCGCCTCTGTAACAAATTGTGACGTGCACTTTCCCATACAGGAAGTGCTAGGATTTGCCAAGCCTTGGTGCAATGGGTCAGCTGGTCCTAGGCCATCGTCCTTCTCGATCAACGATATACCCCCGCCCAGGTAAGTATGATTCTTCGTCATGATCCATATAGAATGTATGAGACTTATGAACACCTTCCTTGCTACGTGCATGGGTTGATACATGGGTATCACAATATAGGAGTTTGAACATCACATGCTCAATTTTTAGTCCAGGATGTAAACCCGGATAAGAGATAGAGAAAGAAGAGTTCAAATTCACTTTAGATGGAGAAACAACATGCGACGAAAGACAGTGAAGTTTTGAAGTGAAATTTCTTAAGAGATCTTGGAACGCTCTCCTATGAAGCTACTGGGCTGTTTTCATGGATAGACATGATTACTCACTACAACATGAAGCATTCTCATATAGTGAAACAGATGATGAATCTACAGCACACGGGTATGTTTGACTCACAGCCAGCAAAAGAACAGCAACCCAGGCAGGACTTGAACCCGCAGAATAGATCCAGAGCTTGGAACGCTCTCCCATGGAGCTACTGGGCCATTTGCATGATTAATCATGATGATGACTCACTACAACATGAAACTTACTCATGTAGTGAAACAGTTGATAAATCTACAGTACACTCGGGTACGTTTTAGATGACAGCCAAGAAAACACTTGAACAGTATAAGTGACATACCCATTGACTAGAAAGAGATATGGTGACCCGGATTAGTCGAAATTAAACGTTGATGAATCCACTGTTCCAGGCAGGGTCTTTTGCTGCCTGCAAGTGAACTGCAGATTCATCAACTGTTACACTACATGAATATACTTCTTCATATATTCAGTCATCATGTCTCTTCATGTGAACGGCCCAGTAGCTCAATGCGAGAGCCTTCCAAACTATGGATCTGTGCTGCGGGTTCAAGTCCTGCCTGGGCTGCTATATTTTTGGTGCTTGTTTTGTTGGCTGTGAGTCAAACATACCCGACTGTACTGTATATTCATCAACTGTTGCATTACATGAGCATGAGCATGCTTCATCTTCCAGTGAGTCGTCATATTTCTCTATGTGAACGGCCCAATAACCTTCCAAAACATGAATCTGTGCTACGGATTCAAGTCTTTTGGTGTATCATCTAAACATATCGAATCTACACTATAATTATCGACATTTCCCTACCACTAGTCTAGGAGTATCCTTGTTTTTCTAGTCAGTCGACATGTCTCAGTCGGATCATGGATCTGTGCTGCGGGTTCAAGTCCTGCCTGGGCTGAAGACTTTTGGCGTGTCATCTAAACATACGCGAATCTACAGTAGAATCATTAAATGTTTTCACAATATGAGTTTGCTTCTGGTTGCAGTCAGTCATCATGTTTTCCATTGTGAATGGCCAAGTTGCTCAATTTGAGAGGCTTCCAACGTATGGATACATGCTGTGGGTTCTGCCTAGGCTGCGAGTCTTTTGCTGTCTTACATGCAAACATTCTCGTGTCTCTTCTGTTCTTTCATTTTGAGAACATACCAGACTTCGGTGTAAATTCATCAATTTTTACACCACATAAGTATGCTTCTAGTTTTAGTTAGTCGTGATGTCTCTCCATGTGAATGGTCCAATAGCTCGATGCGAGAGTAAGTCAAGGATCTGTGCTGCAGGTTCAAGTCCTGCCTGGGCTGCGCTCCTTTTAGTTTCTTACATCCAAATATACCCGATTGTACAGTAGAATCATGATCGTTTGCACTCGATTAGGCGCGGAGCATGATACCTTCTTGTATTCAGTGTTTATGCTTGTTCATGTTAATGACCCATTAGCTCAATGCAAGAAACTTATTGTTGATAAAATCTGCTGCAAAGATTGCGTCCGGTTTTATGGTGTAGTTGGTTATCACGTCAGTCTAACACACTGAAGGTCTCCAGTTCGAGCCTGGATAAAGCCATGAACTTTTTTTCTGATATGCTGAAGGTCTCCAGTTCGAGCCTGGATAAAGCCATGAACTTTTTTTCTGATATGCTGAAGGTCTCCAGTTCGAGCCTGGATAAAGCCATGAACTTTTTATCTGATATGCTGCCTGGGCCGCACAAGTTTTGCATATTAGTATATGTATGATAGAATACAATTGATCTTTGATTATTAAATATCTAATTTTGTTTTCAATTATATAATTTGATTATCTAATTTATTGGTTTCAGGCTGCATAACAATAAATTCAACCTCGACAAAGAAACTTAGACAAACTCATTTTGTCAAATCACACCCGGGTTCCATTGATGAAATAAAATTTTTATATAACCTAAAAACCGGAGATTAATACACAATCGATAAGAAAACTCTACATAAGCACGTGTATACACGTGCGTTGAGATTTCCAAGCTGACCAAGTGGTGATATTCAAATAAGGACATGAACCGAATGCGACATCTGGAGCCTAAAAAACGATTCCAAACGACGATTCCAAATTAAAAGACATTTAGAGTCATAGGTTCCAATATTCATCCTAGTTAAGCTTCACTTTGTTTTTCCTCCTATTCTCACTGCTGAAAAATATTCGAATCTGAGATATAAAGGTATATGCGCAGAAAAAAGGTGAAGATGACCTCTAACACCACTCCAATACTCTCATTGATAATCACAGGTGTTTTCGGCTATCTTCCTCGTCGAGATCTTCACAGGTCTAACATGCGGTGGTGTACAGTCAATATGACACATGTATGTGAGACAGGTCAGTTTCAAATTGCTGAGTATTTGTTCTGATATCTATAGCGATACTGATTCCAAATACTCGTCCTTGCGAAGATAGCAACAATTTATGTGAATCTTCATTATATTGATATTGTACGTTTTATTAATTAATTTATTGTTAATATTAACTTTGAAAAAATTGAAATTTCTATTGAACTCTCTTTTTTTCTAGAAATTTGTATCAATATAAGTGATTTGAATATCTCAATATTACTATTGATAGTTTCATTCAATTGATCAAAGCATTAATTACAGAAAAGCTTTAGTGAACTTGACAATCTATATGTATGTAGTAACATGTCAGATCAACACTAATGTTTATTAAGTTATAACGAGTACTATGCTTTAAAATTACAACATTATAATCTGAAGTTATTCCTTAACCAAAGTTAATTTTAACATGAATATATTGTTGATAATCATTATAAATATTAATAAAATATATCATAAAATATTTTTTTTTAAATGATATTAAAATATCAAAAGTATATATAATCAAAGTTATTATAAAGCATTTTAGATTTTAATTATTTTACAATCATTACAAATAGATAACGTCGAACTTATTACTAAAATAATTCTTTCAAAACTAGAATAAAATAGAAAAATTTGTACTAATGATTGAAAATTATTATGACTTTTGTTTTTATTATCTTGTTCTTTAGGAAAAATGAGATAAATAGAATAAATAACTATCAACAATTAAAACGTGAAGATCATGATGGCACCATATCTCTCTGAATTACTCTAGATGGAGGCGCGTATTTCACATTCGTGGAGCAGTCGAGCTGGTTGGGTGGACAAGGCGTCTGTCATGGTTACTGATACTGTGTCGGTAATCTACTCCATGATTCTCTGTGGCCACAACTGGTACACGTGCTGGATACGGCCAAAGAAAAAAAGGTCCCACAAACTTTGTGGCACTTCTGCTCCTCAGAACTCCTGTTCTGAGGAGCAGAACAGGAGTTCAAAGAATCCTGTTCAAAGAATGCAAGAATTGATGAATGATTCAGGGCTCCCACAAGGTTCAGATATTCTCATAGGTGTACTACCAAAGCTTTCGTCATTGACTAAGTCACCATTGAAAGTGACAAGCTCACGTTTGTGACTTTCAACGACCAAAGCTTTCGTCATTGAGTAAGTCACCGTTGAAAGTGACAAGCTCATCTTTGTGACTTTCAACGACCAAAACTTTCGTCATTGACTAAGTCACCGTTGAAAGTGACAAACGTGACCTTGTCACTTTCAACGGTTTCGCTTTCGGCATTGACATTAGTCAATGCCGAAAGCGATGGAAGACTAAATTGACCTCGTCCTTTTCCAGTTCAGAGGATGCTTCTCTATGGGACATCGCGTAGGTATATCGGTCTCGATTAGCAATAAGTGAAAGGAATAATCTGAGAAAAATCATGGTAGTTCAAGAATCATAGCCAGAAAGGAAACGGTGTCTCAGTAAGATGTACTTTGCGTCCCACTGCGACTCATGAATGGGAGATTTGACACATGTGATTGTATTCGCCATAAGCAGCATGGCTAGAACAATGTTACTGTGGAAGAGGTATCATCATAGTGCTGTGCTACTAGCTCACGAACCGATGGCCGCAGACGACTGATTTCTAGTCAGAAAATGGATGAAGGATCGAAATGTAGACATCCCCAGGAATAACCCAGTTGCTGTACTCGTATGGGAAAAAAATTTCACCAACGCTTCACTTCATTGTCGAATCCTTATTACTGGCCAGATTGTTCACGGCTGAAAAGCTTCATTGTGAAATAAGAGGCTGCGGAGAGCACACTGTGCCTAGACTTGAGCCACGTGACGGCGTGGGTCTTCAAGAAGAAGAAGACGAAGAAGAATTCTAAACCTTGAGGTCAATCAATCACGACATCAACCAGAAGACATTCCATCCAGAGTAAGCATCTGAATAATCAGGCCAGCGTAAGCATCTGAATAATCAGGCCAGCGTAAGCATCTGGATAATCAGGAATGCGACGTGGCATACCTGCAAGCGATCAAGCAGCATGGCTGCTTGATTGGCGAAGAAATAATCTACGTTGAGTCATAACGCGATTCCAGAAAGTTATCAGAGTCGTTCCTTTTTGTGTCTGACAGTGCCTGGCCCTGTCAGCTCTTCTTCATCTCGAGATCTTGACTCAACTGAGCTGGAAATTCAGATTTCTTGAAAGCCTTACGAGAGCAGCTGGACAATTGCATTCGAAGATTGACTGATCCTGAGTCGTAATTCCGAAGTGAAGCATTTGCAGGATCTTGGATCTTGGGAGCAGGATCAGGATATTGAGAGTTGGACTGGAGAGCCCATTATTAAATAGACGTCATGCAGGGAGGAGGTTGCTGCTATGGTTCTGATGGAATGTCTGATGGTGCAGAAGTTTGAGGTGAGGAAGCTGGACCTTTTAGCAGGTTTTATTTCTTCGGATATGGTGATTTGTTGTGCTTTGACCTGATACTCATTCCTAAACTCAAAAATTCGGAGACTTTGAGTTAGCTCGCGGAGATCATAGCTGTCAAGCTCGAAAACTGTGGAGAACCAGTGGTGCTTGAGATGGTGAACACTCAGCCCCATAACGCCTGTTAGCTCCTCTCTTACGTTCATGTAGAGGGGTCTGAGTGCTTGTCATGTCCTGCGTTGAAAACCTTAGTTTCCAAGCTCACAAAGTACAGGCAGCATTCATTTTACGTTGTTGGGTTCACATTTGGGCAACAAATTTGGGTGCACATTGACATTGAGAAGCTCACTGTCATCCCTGGATTTCATAATCCTCAAATTCCTTAGTCCAGTTTGTTGGGGGAGGCACTGAACGGAATGTTGTACAATGGGACTGTGCTGCGACCATGGTTCATCTGGGGATTTTGGTTGGGGAGCGTTGTGTGTGTTCAAGCGTATCCATCTTTGGAAGCTGAAGCTCTTTTCTGTCTAAAGGCGACGTATTTTTCTGGATTGGAGTCGTGGACACTTTCAACATCTCCCTGTGATGGCTGGGTTGGGGTGAAGTGTGACCCTGTCACAAAGAGAATTATCGAAGTAAATGTGACCGGGTTGGGAATTCGAGGCACGGTAACTAGTGAGTTGTGCCTGCTAGAAGATTTGGGAGTGCTTTGTCTGAGTCATAACCTGTTCGAGGGCGAGCTGCCGTCGTGTCTGTGGAACATGACACGGTTGCAGAAACTGGAGGCTGCAAATTTGAATCTGAATGGTTCTCTGTCGGGGATTTGCAATCTGGAGAAGCTGGAAGTTTTGGATCTCAGTTTCAATGATGTACGCGGTGACGTGCCAGCTTGTTTGTGGAATATGGCACAACTGCGGTCTCTGGACTTGTCCAACAACTTGAACCTCGGGGTGGAGGGTCTCCCCGCCAGTGCTTCTGTGACTCTGCTTCAAAATCTGGCGCTCTCGAACTTGCAACTATCTGGATCGCTGCCTGCGTGGCTGGGCAGCCTACACCAGCTTGAAGAGCTCGACCTCTCTTTCAACAATATTTCGGAGCTTCATTCTTCAGTTGGTAATTTGTCAAGCTTAAGGACTTTGAACTTGAAGCACAACAAATTAACACAGATTCCACCCTCCATCGATGGATTGTTAAGCATTGTGAAGATGGACTTTTCTGAGAATTTTCTGACAAGTGTACCAAGTTCATTGAGCAAAGCTGTCAGACTAGAAAGTCTCAACCTGAATTCCAACTATCTATCAGCTATTCCTACCTCTTTGGGAAACCTTCAGTCGTTGAGAAAGCTGCTTTTTGCCTACAATCTCTGTACCGACCTCCCGTCTTCTTTAGGTGCTCTGGGTAGCCTCGACGAGCTCGATGCCTCGGACAATAAACTGGTTGGATCATTCCCCGCATTCATACAAAATATGACCAGTCTGCAGACGCTGAATCTGGCTGGTAACTATCTCAGCGGAGATATACCCACATTCGTCTACTCCGGCTCCGGGTTTCGACTTCAGAGTCTGAATGTTTCCAGAAACTCCTTCAAAGGAAGCGTGCCAGATTTTTCCTGGGGTAATTATTATGCCATTCTGGACCTAGCTCACAATTTGTTTACGGGCGTCCTCCCTCCACTGAATAACTGCACCTTCAGTCTGCTCCGACTTTCCAGCAACAGTCTGACTGGTGGCATTCCGCTGTCCTGGAGAAACAGCACTGGCTTGCAAATGCTCGATGTATCCAACAATCGGTTGACAGGGCCTGTCCCTGGATTCTTTGGGTTCATGAAGCTGTTGGAGGTTTTTGATTTGTCAAATAATGAATTTTCAGGCACTCTGCCTTCTAGTTTGGGAAATTGCACCAAACTTCAGAGGATGAGACTTGGGGACAACCTACTCATGACAGGACCTATCCCTGCCACAATGTGCAGTCCAGGAGGTTCGCTGCTGACATTGTCCTTGGCTTACAGCAACTTTGTGGGTGAAATTCCATCATCGCTGGGTAATTGCACGGGATTGAAAGTTCTAGATTTAAGTGGCAATCAGTTCAGTGGAAAACTGCCCCTCAGTCTGCAAGATCTTTCAAGTACATTACGAGTTCTCATTGTCGCAGGCAACAGACTAGAAGGACTTTTCCCGGAATGGATAGTAAATCTGAGATCTCTGCAGGTACTTGACTTGTCTAAAAACAGTTTCGTAGGGAAGCTGCCCAGAGACTACTCTCAGCTGGAGGGATTCAGGAGTAGTGCAAGGATGGCCTCGAAGGATACACTTTACTTTGACGATCTCATAATCAATTTCAAAGGGGGTCTTTTGGATCTGCAGTACCTCCTGTCCGCACGAACGTCTTTCGATGTTTCCAGCAACTTGCTGTTTGGCAATATTCCAGACGAGCTCGCAAAATTATACGGCCTGTTACACTTGACCCTGTCCGAGAATAACTTCTCTGGCACAATTCCCGTCAGTCTAGGTAACTTATCAAATCTTGAGTCTCTAGATCTGTCCAGAAATAGCTTGTTTGGGGCAATACCAGAGGAGATTGGTCATTTATCATCACTGACATACTTCAATGTCGCTCACAATCATCTTTCGGGAGTGATACCCTCAGGACCTCAAATGAGCTCATTTAACTCTTCGTTATATGCTTATAATGATGGCCTCTGCGGTTCTCCCTTGGCCCGTTGTGTCAACACGGCACTTCTTCAGAGCTCCCAGCAGAATCATTGGCTTGCAAACAAGTGGATTTCTTTTCCGGCAGTTTTGGCGGGTGCAGTAATAGGGTTCTGGACAATGTCTGCGATCATTATCCTCAACAGGAGTCTCAGGGTATTCTTCCTCCAGGCTCCATCTGGGAAGGCCTATATCAGACACTACACTAACGGAAGACCATATGGTATGTACAGACCTCCGAAGTGAGGCACATATCCACTGTTGTCTCGATGAGACATACATTTTGTAAGAGAGTGGAACTTCATAAGAAGTTTTGGAGGAGAGTTCTTCTGAAACGTGTCGGCATGTCGTTCTATGAACTGGTAACATGGGAAATGATATCAATTCAGTGTGCACAGTTTTGGCATTTGTCGAATCTTAAAACGTAGACAGGCCCTTCAATGCAAATAAAGTGTATAGCTGTAGATGAACACTTGCTAAAATACTGATGGCAATACTTCGCTCGACGTGGAGATATCTCTGAGCTCAAACATGCCGAGCTGAATATTAATTACTTATTTCTGTGTTTACATGTTTTGTTCATCTCCATTTTTCAAGTCAGCCAATAATTTTTTCCGATGAAATTACGTATCGGTGACGTGCAACACGGTGATCGCTAAAAAAAATCTTTTAACAATGGTTGCTATTTGTTTTCAAAGTATGGCCAAGGGCTCGGGTTATGTCATTTTCTGTTCATGCAACTAACACAGTGCCTTGTGATATAAGTGACACATCTCATCCTTACTTCAAGTACATTTTCTTACTATGGGAACCAAAATTACCCAGAGCCCTGCTACTTTTCTATTCATCTGGTGAGCCAGGACCAACGCAAGTATTACTTCCTCACAGTTTGAGCACATTTCCTAGAATGCCCAGAACAAGAAAGAGAAGCGTCTCGCTCCAACGCTTGATGAGCCGGTGCTTGGGAACTTCACGGTACATTTACACACCGCATCAACGGCACCGGATCTCATCAACGGCATAAAGCTGTTTAGTCATCTCTTGAAGGCCATTAAACCACCAAGTTCGACCTTCGTCGTATCCCCAACATTTGTGACAAAGTATGATCGCATGAATTCAAGCGGAGATGTGATTGTAAGCTAGAGCTCAGACTAACTGGTGTGTAACTCGGAGTCCAACTATCGATCCCTCCGATCCTGCTCTCATGACGTAGTACCTGACCTGCAAACCTGATGGTAAAGTTCAACCAGATTTTATGAATGATTGTCTCAGCACTGGGAGTAGCAGGGTCAAACTTAGAATGACGATTTATGGAACGAATATGAACGGGAGCTGACAGATGAAGTGAACAATCTATGATCATGTTTACAACCAACCGGATTTCTGTGCTCAACGGAATTGTTCATCAGGCGAGGTAGCGTTACGAGAATTGTAAAACACATATAGGATATGCTACCTGGTGATAAAATCTTCAGATCAGGTTTTGATATCAATGTATCCGTCTGATATCAAAAAGTCTTCTCGAACACTGTATACCTTTATTCTCTTTCAGAGCTGTGAAGGCAATCGCTGAATACGATGAAGTCCTGAATCTCTTCTCCCAATATGTGGCAGCTTAGTCGCGCGAGTTGAAAGCGAGTAACTCATCTAGACAACATGAGACAAAAACATCGAACTAGAATGTTAAGATTTTCTTTCAGGACCACCTCAGTAAAGCTGACTGCGACTGCATCTTATTTTTCTCACGACAAGTTACAATGGTGCAGTGTAACTTGCGGTGAGAGAGAAAAGTAAAGAAGTAGAACGCTTCTCTCAGAAGAAAAAAACCAACCGTAATTGCAGTTCAAATCTTAAAGAGATTGTAGATCATTGCTCTATAGGATAAAGATAGGCGGGCAAGGATCTCATGGTAAATTGCAGTCCCTTACAATCAGAATCAGCGCAAATGTGGATCGGATCCTCGCCTTAGCGTCTTTGACATAACGGATGTGTCAATGGCTTTAAGGCCAGGATCTGTGCCGTCATTCCAAGGACGTTAAGATGTGATGAAGATACGATCGAAGTCGTCGCATTTGTCGACTTTCAAACTCCGACTTCAAGTGCAAGTCAGCACGTGCTGTCAAGTACGATCCGCTGGCTACCAAATGGCGAGGGCAGCGAGCTCGCTTCTCAACTCCATTCAGAAGCTTTAGCCGGGACGGTTCTGGACGGTTCCTTTGTATATGGAGTGATGTGGATTAAAATCCTGAGCATTGGCATTGGCAGGACTGCTTCATGGCCGTAACTTTTGCTCGGCTCGAGGATTTCTTGCAAATAATCTCAGAAAGGGACCGTCTTATATTCGGCCCCGACGAGGAGATTATCGGGAGAAATATTTCGGCCTCTTCTTGGGGTTTGGCAACTCATGAGGCCGTGTTTCAGTTCGAAAGCACGGGCGCCGTCATAGCGGGTCTCCTGTACAGCAGTCGTGGCGTATCGTTGGGTTCTTCTTCGAACTATCGAGTGATTTGAAGTAGCCCATGGGCAGTTCTGTCGAGTGATTTGATTACCGGTGATACCGGCTGCGGGCGCGGGCAGGATCTCGGATGTAGGCTAAATATAGTCTCACTCGGTTAATGACAGATGAGCGAATGCAAGACAACTTCGTCAGTCAGAACTATTCAACTCTGGACTACGTGAACCGCAACTGCACTTGCATTCAATTGTAACTTCGTACCTACACAGTACGCACTGCCGTGTTATCAGATCCATATCTGTAGCCACTTCTCCGGGACCAAATTCCTGTGAAAAAGATGAATTACAGAGAAATTGAATGACATATCATCAGAGCTACTGTAGAATGCGGAGGGACGTTGTGCGCATTTGAATAAAACCTATAATTTTCAATCCCACAATTGCTTCAACCTCAAGCCTGTAGATGGGAGCACATGCCTGACAAAAGTCTAAGACTCTAACGAAGAAGAAAGTGGTTCGAGCACCATGAATTTCCTAAGCAGACGGAGGCTTATCGGAGATGTGAAGAAAATTTGAGACATGTGTTCAGATGTTTCTCCATCACTTCTATTAGCCAGGGGCTAAATGCAAGACGCGCTGCATAATTAACAATTACAAATGATTTTGTTTTGTATAGATTTTGTTCCCACTCTTCGCCTTTGGCCGATCGATGCACGCTTTTTCAGTGCTGCAGCTTTGCTTTTGATTCTCATTCAGATTTCGTTGACCTCTGAGCACGTGATTCTATCAGCGACGACAAGCTGCCTGGATGATAATGATGCCAAGTTTATGATTTCCCCTCAGTCTGAAATCTCTGGTTGGAAACCTCGCTCGCAGAGAGAGAATGTAGATGATCACCCATCATCTTCTCAAGCATTGATCTTGATGAAAGTTACTGCCTGTGGTCACCTCTCAGACGTTCCGAGTGGATCAGATTTCCAGATTAGAGCCGATGAGCTAACATTAATTTGAACGCAGAAAAATCATCCATCTTTTTCAAGATTCGGATTGGATCCATCTTGCATTTCACAAGTAAATAGTCCGTCTGAGTGCTGTGTCCAAACTTCAGGCCATAAAGAAAGCAGCCATATCGCGCGTTTGCAGTTGTGAGCTTGAAGATGTAGAGACCCTTCGCAGGTTTCATACCTACCTAGACCGAGTTTTGAAAGCATCTTTGAACAAACAAATATAATGTCGATCATGAATGAGTCTATTTCAAGTTCAATGTTCTTTCACACCGCAGGCGCTGACTATAATGATACATTCAAGTTAACCTTCCACCCTGTAAGATCAGTGCAGGGGTTCCAGTGCAGGTAGAGCAACCATGATACCACTTGGACCTCAGTTCACATGATTATGCCACTCTTTGGCCTTCCTACTTGTGGTACTTGGTTTCCCCGTGAGAGGAAAGAGGGCTGCGCCTGCCAAGGACATAGTGCAATACCAAGGCGACGCTGGCGAGTCCGAAGCAGCAAGCTGCACCGTTGGACTCGCACCCGTGAGAGAAATTAGATTAATATCGTAAGGGTCGACGACCCTCGTATCAGATATTAAACTGATAAGAACAGATACTACACTTGATCTTAGCCAAAAGGCCGAGAAAGGTATAGAGAACTGGCTGGGCTCGCGAGTCTATGTATCTCACGAGAAGCGCCCAGGTTCTGCCTCTGTTATGGGTTTAACTCAACTATACACTGTTCCTTATCCATGACTTGACTATAATCCCTTTCCTCACAGGGCCAATGTATCTTGACTTGTTCGATGATTCTATATCTTTCCTTATTCACAGATTTCCCCATCCTAAGAGACACATGCTTGCACCTGGTCTGTGCTAATCGTCGTAAATATTATTTTTTTTAAAGACATTGAGGTGTCTTGGAACTCAGAGTTCATTGCAACTCCCTTACCTCCAAACTTGACGATTATTACTGTTTCTAAACCACGGACTAGTGTGGAATACAAACTGTCTTGGTGCCCAAGAGAAAGGGCATCCAGCTCAATTTGTTTTTACACGTATTTTTCTCTATCCACGCACATAGTTGGTCCAAATCGAAGTGTTCCATTTTTTCTCCACATTTATCACAGTACAGTAACTGATCCTGTCAGCCGCATGCTGTCATTCGTCTATTGTTGCAGAATTTGTATTTCCTCTTAGCGCACAGCTGGACAGTACCTCACATTCCAGACTTTCCTCTGCAATAAGGTAACAATGGCTGAATGTGTCCATGGTTAAGAGGCCTAGGTTCAAATGTTGATGCCTCTACAGCTTTTCTTCCCATGTTTGAGTTATTCTTTCTGCAACACCGGAATCATTGTGAATAGCTACAAGTTCTCTTCACTATTCAGGGTGTATGCTCTGTATTTGACCGTCAATCGCCTTTGAATTTGAGGATCTTTCAGTGGGTGTAAATCAGTTTCATGCAGTCATCCGTTTCACGGCATTTATTGTAATGGTAAAGGATAGGTCGTAATGTTGGTTACCTAAAACCTTGTACCCATATATATACAACACCTGAAACCCTTGGTTTCGATTACCGTGTAAAGTTGCAAAATTACTGGTATCCCTGATATTACAAACTCATCTTAAATCTCGGACGAATGTTCAGAGCACATTCACTCTTCTGGAATCTCAATGAACTTGTATCAAAGAACATGGCTACTAAGATTTTGATCGAGCACTGCTTCTCCTCTAGTATTAGAAAATCTTCAAACACCATGCACATGAGCAATCTACCAACAATCAGGATTTATCAGTCTCAGAAAGACTGAACAAAATATCAAGTATTAATGTAAACAGTGAATCTTACTTCAGTAGTAACGTACTGCGACTGTTGAGTATGTTTCAAACACTTCCATAGGGTTTAGCTGGATTCTTCGACCCGTCTTGATTAGCTCAGAAAGACATGTAACCATCTGCAAAAAGTGTTTATCTT